TTCGTTAATATTTGCGATGGATTTTTACAGTGCAGTTTGTTCATTTTCAGGATTCCTCGTCAAATAGAAAAATCTTATTGGACTTCAGAAATGGACTTCTAATTTGAACAATGATCCGCGCCTTTTCAAAACGGATACGGCTATCGGGTTCAGTATTCAAACAATCAGTTCATTATTGCACTCGTGAAACAGCTAGCGGGTTCAATAATCAAATAATAAATTCATTATTGCATTCTTGAAACGACTGGCGGGTTCAATATCCAAATGATCAATTCATTCATTTAATCTTAAGGGGTGCGCTTCACTTACTTTGACTGTAATACATTTATTTCTAGCAGCTGATACCCTCACTGATGGAGGCAATCTCTTACTGACCGATGTTGCGTATAGGCTGAGTGAACCACAGTGATACCGGTTGCTGAAAGAAAATTCTCTTTCGAACATTGTCAATATTAGCCAAAGCAGTTATGTGCATTTATAAAAACGTTATTCGGGGTTTTTAGAATTATTCTCCTTTAGCAGCTGTCGGCTATACCCTATATATAAGGTGAAACTCGAACAGAAGAGTCTACTCGCAGGTTAAAATGGCGTCGGTCAGAGGTGTTATTAGGGAGATTTAATTTAGCACTGTGTTTACGTGAAACTTGAACGGCAAGAGTGACCACGAGACCTTGTTTTTCCCGCCGTTTTTTTTTTTTTTTTCGTGTTCGCCCATTGCATTTTGCCGCTTCTACGTAAAAGTAACCTCTGTCGGGTTTTTCGTGTCGGTAAGATTTTCTTCACTTTTTCTCTCACAGAGTAGAAGTTGACTGCCGGAAAAAAGAGTTCCTTCAAATCCACCATGTCGCGAGCTCACGCGAAGGTAAAGCAGCAAGGTTCACGCTATTTTACGTGAAACGTGAAAGGACAAGCTACCGTTTGCCGTTTCATGAAATCGCGGTGCTACATCTCTCTAGAGGCCTCAGCATTCGGCTCTGGCAGGTAACACAAACTTTGGCCTTGATAACTATCGCTATCATGCTCAGCCGAATCAAATAATTGCTAATTAGTGGATCAGAGTAGTAGATGGGGAACCAGTTGATAAGATGGATTTTCACCTGAAAAAAATGTATAAATCTAAAAAGAAAAAAAAAAAGGGCTATACTTTGGTACAGTGGTTCCCTTTCCAAAAAATTAAATGTGAAAACTTGCTCTTTTGCAGACACTGTCTTCCAGCATTCAACTTTGCCTCCTAAGTGATCAGTAAGTTTGGTATTTTAGAATGATACATGCAACATCCGTCTATGATGAACCTGCCTATATTGTTAATTTGTGATGATACGTATTGAAGATATTTGAAGCGATTTCTTGCCCGGAATTAAAGAAAAATAATTATACTCGAAATTGCATTTACGCGAAAATATACTTTAAGATAGAGGATATTGGGGCAAAAAAAAGCTGCTAATAAGTTCAATGGAGGGAATTAACGTAACTCACAGGAGAATTTGCAGACATAAAAGGAAAACGGTATTGTGTTGAAATTTAATGTACTGATAGAAACAATGAGCCTACATGGAATCGTCCCTAATAGAAAAGGTCAAGGAAAGGAAATCGTCTCTGATAGCCCTCTGGTTCAGGGTTCTCCGATACCAGCAGATTCGCTTTTGTTGTCTGGTTGACATACTCCAGGCTGTCTGATGTGCAGCAGGAAAAAGGGGAAAGATGTGCAGCGCACGTTATCCAATGGATATATAGTGCGCTGGACTGTTGTGCGGGAGGTCGAGGGTTCGAGCCCCGGTAGGACCAACACTCAAGGTCTTGAAATAATTGCTACCTTTCTATAACATCAAGAAATGGTTAGATATTGTAGTCTTCTCGGATAGGGACGAATAAATGGAGGTCCCGTCTCCTGCAGGGTTG